CGCGTTCACCTCGTTCTGCGACGCTGCTGGCATTCGGCGCGAGTACACCTCCCCCGACACACCCAAGCAAAACGCGGTGGTCGAGAGCGTCATATGGCGCACCATGAAGGGGGGCCACGCCGCGCGCCGCCACATCCTCGCCATGGGCCACGTCGACCTCTCCTCCATCCCCAACGTCGGCGTCAACGGACATCGCCTGTGGCTCGCGTCGGCGCTGTGGGCATCCGTCTGCTTCAACGGCTCCGCGACGAAGGCCAACCTGGGCTGGATGTCGCCGTTTGAGGCGTTCTTCGGCCGGAAGCCGCCCCTCACCGTCGTCTCTTTTTTCCAGGAGGGGATGATGCGCGTGAAGCGGGCCACNCACCGCGGCGCCCTCGCCGGCCACCTCCGTACCTGCGGCCGATGCCGCACCGCCGCCGCCCCCGCCATGAAGGACGTACACCTACATCCCGCCTGCACCAGCGACCACCGCACCGCCGCAGCCCGCTTCCCCGCCGGTCTTCACAGGATCCTTAGCCCCGTCGCCGATCTCCGTCGCGCCATCATCAGCCCCACCTTCGACCGCAGCAACGCCGCCCCCTTCGCCCCCGGGCCTGCCGCCGCCGCCGGCAGACCACCAGCGCCGCCACCCCCGCTCCCCCGCACCCGCCGCTTTCGAAATGAGCCGTGAAGGAGTTGGGACGAAAGGACACGAGGGTACACGGCCGCACGCGCGGCGATGGAGTGCGGTTCATGGAAGAACAACAACAACCGCGATCCGGTGGCGGCACCGCTCTCCACCACCGCCTTGGTCTGTTAGCGATGATGGACAAGGACTCCCTCATCTCGTCGCTCGCCACCCGGGAGGCCGTGGATCAAGGACGCCGCGACCTACCGACCCCGCCGCAGCCGGATCTGAGTCTTGGAGGCCATGGTAGCGGGGGGGCTGTGGGAGCTTGGGGGCCCGTGGATTCCCGGGCGGGGGGGAGACCACAGATGTTGACAATAATGTTCGCCACCCGCGAGGATGTGGACGCCGCTCTTCGCGCCGAGCGCCCGCCCGACAAGATGCCAGACCTTCCTCACTGCCTCGCCAGTGACCTCCGAGTGCCGAAAACGTTGAATGAGGCCATGCGGTCTCAACATTCAGAGTTGGGACGATGCAGTCGGTCGAGAGTTTTTCGGTTTGTTGGATGCAGGAACTTTTAGTCCGGTGGAGCAACCAGTAGAGAACGCCATCAATGCCAAGTGGGTCTTTAACTGTAAGGCAGACGAGTACGGGTGGCCGACGAAATTCAAGGCAAGACTTGTAGCGCGGGGGGACATGCAGAGGGCTTCGATTGATTTTGGAGAATTGTTTGCACCCACCGTATCAGTGTCTAGTGTGCGCTTGTTGGCAGCATTAACATGCGAGCAGAATCTTGACTTGTGCCATTTCGATATTCAGCAGGCTTTTGTGCAGTCTGAGCTTGATGAGGATGTTTCCATGCGCTTACCGCAGGGGTGGTAGGTTATCTGGCCTGATCGTGAAGCTGTGCAAGAGTCTGTATGGTTTGAAGCAGGCATCACGACATTGGCATGCGCACCTGACGAGGTGTTTGTTACTTTTAGGTTTTTTGCAGTGTCTGGCGGATGCATGCGTTTCGATTGATGGAGGAGGGACATGTGATCATGATCATCGTGGTCCACGTGGATGACATGTTTGCTGTAGAGCAGAACGAGAGGGGTGACAACTTTGGCAGGGATCTTAACGAGATGGTCCCCGTGAAGAACCTTGGAGAGTTGAGGTGGTACTCCGCNCGTTTCGATTGATGGAGGAGGGACATGTGATCATGATCATCGTGGTCCACGTGGATGACATGTTTGCTGTAGAGCAGAACGAGAGGGGTGACAACTTTGGCAGGGATCTTAACGAGATGGTCCCCGTGAAGAACCTTGGAGAGTTGAGGTGGTACTCCGCGTGCTTTTACGAGAGAGATGAATTGAGAGGGCTGTTGTTGAAGATTTCGCAACAGAGGTTTGCCGAAGAGCTGGCTGCAGAGTATGGCGTTGAGTTGGGGTACAGCGTGCCTCTGCCTGTTAGCGTAAAGCTCTCCGACTTTGACGTGAATGGAGCGAGTGCTGATGTCCCTTTTCGCGAGTTGGTAGGATCTCTAATGATGTGGTTGGCCACTCAAACACGGCCGGACATCGCAAATGCACTTCGAGCAGTAGCGCGGTATTGCGCGTCTCCCAAGATGGTGCGCTGGAAGGCAGCACTCGGTATTTTAGGGTACGTACGCAGGACGAGTTGGATGGGGATTACATTTGAGAGGGGCGTCCTGACAGGTATGAGTATGAAGGTGTTTGTGGATGCCGACAATGCAAGCAAGGCGGCAGACCGGAGGTCGGTGTCTGGGGGGCTAGTGATGTGTGTGTGTGGGGATGTGACTTGGTTTTCACGAACGCAGAAGTGCGTTACGCTTTCCACCACGGAAGCAGAGTATGTGGCAATTGCGGACGTCTTGAAGGAAGTGTTGTTCTTGAGGCAGGTNCGTCCTGACAGGTATGAGTATGAAGGTGTTTGTGGATGCCGACAATGCAAGCAAGGCGGCAGACCGGAGGTCGGTGTCTGGGGGGCTAGTGATGTGTGTGTGTGGGGATGTGACTTGGTTTTCACGAACGCAGAAGTGCGTTACGCTTTCCACCACGGAAGCAGAGTATGTGGCAATTGCGGACGTCTTGAAGGAAGTGTTGTTCTTGAGGCAGGTGTGGCGTTTATTGTTTTTCTTTCGAATTGCCTTTTTGCATTAATGTTTTCTC